TTAATAAACACATGTATCTTCTGGATGATGGCTTTCGTAGTTCTCCAACTTTTCGCCCCAGTAGACAGTAGAACTATCTTGACATTTGAATTGAAAATTGTGACTTCGATGTTGGTTGACAGACAGTTGTTCTGAGTTCCAGGTGATATTCAGTTGTAAATATGCTGCTCTTGCTTTGCTGATCCACGCATTCACATCTGCATCAGATCCACCGTATTCATCAAAGATGCTGCCCAAATATGTAAATGTTTTTACATCTTCCAAAGCTACTCCGTCAAATGTGATTTGATTGGTGCATGTTGTGTTGTATCGGAGAATCTTGCTTTTGCCTTTGTGTATGTTGAAACCAACTGCTGCTGAGGCTGCTGTTATACTCGTCGTCTTCTCTTGCATTTGTTATTGCGTGTACGACAGAAGATCCCGATCATCTGCAAAGCCTAGATCGTCTAGCTGCATTCTAGCCGCTCACCGTATCCCATGCTTCTCCCCAGATGTTGACGTCTTCATGATCCAGTCGATCACCAGGAGAAAGAGAAAGGGTGAAAGTAAGCAACCTTGCCTGACACCGGTCTTTATTTCGAACGACTTTGTCAACTGTCCTCCATACACGATTTTGCAGTTTAATCCATGATAGGAATTCGTCATGATTTTGTCTGTCTTCTTAGACACACTATAATGTCGAAGAATCTTCCATAGTGTTATCCTATCCACGCTATCAAATGCTTTTCTCGTAGTCAATGAAGTTGATGTAGAGTGATGAATTCCATTCAACTGATTGTTCCACAATGATCCGTATTGTTGTGATTTGTTCGGTACACGATTGATCCCTACGGTCAGTCAATATTAAATAATCAATATTTATTTTAAAGTATTAAACTATGATATTTTATAACTATCCAATGTATTTCATTTTTGTATATACTTAATCTCTTTTTTTCTTTCTATCCTACTAAACTCTTACACTTTACTGATTAGTAAAGTACATAACATTTTGTCCTAAAAATCAATGTTATCATAATCCAAATAGATAAGTAGGGGATAATTCACAGTTAACTTGGATCATATGAGAAAGTACATTTTCTAATCGGATGTTTACAATAACAGAAAAGTAATTCAGTACATTTTTGTTGTTGTAATTATCCTTTTGGTTAATAAGCATAAATACGAAATATGACTACACACACACACACGTACACACACACACACAAAAGAACAAACAAACCTACAGACTAATCATGATTAACACTTATTTGAAATAGTAAATGATTATAGAATATAAGTATTTATAGTTGATCAGTGAATGAAATTAACATATGGAAAAACATGGAAGCACTGGATGGCTTTTTCAATCTGTTACAGGATTCTTCAGCAGTGCACATCCACGATTCTGCACAGACTACTCGAACGCAGGACCATTGGTCTCACGTGTAAACGCTTAACATCTAGATGCTACAGAGCCAGCATCCAACAGTGTTAATGTCTACCTTGAATCAATCCACAATATTGTACAACCGTCCACCATTGTCTTCAGTGAGTAACTGTCTCACAGCAGACACGGTTGAACTGTACTGGTCATAGCTTCTCACTAGAACTCCAGGAAATCCATCTCGAAACCATTTATTAGTGAGAACACGATAATTATCAGTTCATGATATCAATTCAAACTCAACAATCTTCACAACCCTATAATGATATGACGAACTGTTTTAACTTTAAACTCTATAGTCAGAGAACATTGATTTCATTAGAACTGAAACATATATTTATAGTGTAAAATTATTATTATTATCACACTGTTCTTGTTCGTTTGTGTCTTTTTCTTCGTGGTACACTTTTAGTTGGTTTGAACAGTGTGCTTCAACTATATGCCTTCGGTAGTACCAAGTCCACTGTGCGTTCTTGAAGTCCTGGGGTTCGACCCCCCATTGTGTCAGTATTGCATATTGTTTCGATACCCCCAACTAGAAAGAGGAAATCGGGCGATGTTTCATGATTCAGTTTATTTTACAGATCAACTAAAGTTGAGCGATACCATTTGAAATACTTCGCAAAGAGGCTCGTATCAATTTAGGCCGTTTTTGAAGCTGTCTTAATGTTAGTATGGGTGAAAACGGTTGTGTTTTAAACGCTTCGGTGGAGATAAAACTGTACTATACTTGTGAAAAATAGCTTTTATAAGCTTAATATGTTGTGGAACTTACTGTATTCGGTTACAGTTTTCCTCAAAGGATTGTTGAAGATCGGTGATTACACCAAATTTTCTGATGTTGAGGTTGAGCAATGTGTGTTCGGGTACACTGACAATAACCCATCTGATGTCAGCAACTTAGAAAATCTGACAAATCTTTGTGGCTTCTATTCAAGCGGTTCCAACTTGATGCATTAAATGTCAATGCTGAGAGTAGGAGAAATAGCGGAGAGGTAGTTCAGAACAACTTTCCATTCGGAATTCTAGAGATTATACAACTTAATGAATTGAGATGAATTATCTTAGCTGAAAGAAGTCTTTTATTACTGTATTTTTTGTGAACTACATCGTCCATTAAGTTAAGCTGTTGTTCGTCTATTTATTGATTACAAGATCCTTCTATCCTTTATTTCGTCAAAATATTACTAATTCACTTTGGTGTTTTACTGCATCAGAATTTATGTCCATTACATATTTACAGTAGAATGGTGTCTCTTCACACATGTTTTAGCTTCGTTAGTTTAAAGTTTATCATATATCAAAGCGCGTATAGTGGAAGAACAAAGGGGAAAGTGAATGTTCGTATTCCCTAAAACGTTTTTAAAAAAAAATTCAAAATTAAAAGATACTTGTTGTAACGTGTGGATTGCAGTTTAGATGGAGCAGCGTTTTATCGATCGACTACAGTAACATGTAAACACGTAATGAACGACCTATAGTCCCGATCGGCCCTGCTTCGCTGTCTACCCCAGACAGTCGAGTCCAGAACGCAAGTCTCAGCCTCTGAGATATGAATCGCTATATTTCAAACATACTCTGTTTATATACCAACCAAACAGACTACATCGTACCATAAAAATAGAAAACAACATCTGTACAATATTTAACGAGTGAAATAAATAATGGCCAATAGAGAATGCCCATTTAAAGTCCAAGGACATCATTAGACTTAACATGATAATGATTGGTATATTCCTTTGCATCCCTAACAATACTGCAACCCTGAATTGTTCAGTAATTTGGCATTTAATTGACAGTGGGGACATCCTTGACGTCCATAACTTATTCCAGATAACCAACATGCAGAAAAGTTATTTTTAAGGTTTTAGTGATGTATTTGTTATAAAGAAAACCGATCTTAATTTATGAATTCAGAAAGAGACGAGTGTCAATTTATCACTGTTGCAGTAAATGCATGATAATGATAAAAATCATGTTCAATTATAATCATTATTATTACTATTAATTTCATAGTTTTAAATCACTAACTTATCTTACTAGATCAATAGTAAAAGAACCAGAAACATTGAATAACCGTTATGCCGTAGTAAAAGACTCCTCGGAAGTGAGCGTTCATGACCGCGGTACAAGGAATCGAGCCGTAAACCTTCTGTATCGCAGATAGATAATTAGTCTCTGAACCAATAAACTGGCATCTAACGGCATACACGTCAAACTCTATTCAATTCACAATATACTGAGCAACCCTCGTTCATTGCGTACAGTGGATAAATATCTCACACCTTTCAAGAACGCAATGACTGGCGTCCTGAAGCCAGTCACTAACGATTACTAGATTATTATCACTATTACAAGGGGACTTACGGAGATTGTTGGACAGAACAACTGTTCAATGCTTTCACGTCTTCAATTGTAGTCTAAGATCAATTAGCAATTTAAACAATGAAACATTCCCATATTCCCTATGCTAATATTATGATTAATGTTTGTATTTTGTTGTTGTTCATATTCGCTTCGCTGCTTGTTATTTCATTCACTTTGAAATCAGCTTTCTAATCCTTCGAAACTTTCATTCATTCATTCATTCATTCATTCACTTTTTTAGGGTTATGTAAACACTTCTAAATTTCTGTCATTTTAATAGAATTGATTTGATCAATACTATCTGACCCCTTCCTAGTTCTGATATCGATTTTTTAAATGATTTTATGTATGTTTATTCATACATATAATACCGATAATCATTCGTATTCGAATTTGTTTAATTGTCAATACGTTCGTTATATTATGACCGTTGTATGAAGCTGGAGAGAAACCCCTGTTGGGGACGTTAGATCCCCAGAACTCACTTGGGAAAGGACCTAATTTTGTAATTTTATTTAGAAATTTTGAATGTCTTTGTTTTCACGCCAAAGGCGCTCTTGTCACCTTCATGTCGTATTTTCCACTGGGAACTAACTTAAATACTATTGGTCCGTTGCGTCTTTTAGTATGCTATTTGGTAACTCTCCCCAAGGACGGTTTTGTACTGCATATATACGTTTTGAATTGAGTTTGTTGTTATCGCTCGTTTCTGGTTGTTTTGCAGAATATACATCCCCGTTCCAAGCATGAACTTCTCCGTCTAGTTAGCGTAACTGGGACGCATCAATAGCTAGCTTACTGGCCTTTGGTCTCTGAGACTTGTTTCTCGTTCGCAGATTAAGTGAACTCGTAATAGCTTCAACCCTAGCAACCCCCCAATAAAATAAAATGAATTTATATTATTCTATCTTAATTCAGTTACTTCATTTATTGATTAAATTTAATTTTACAAAAAAAATCGTATTGCTGGGGTAGAAAACGTCTATTAACGATTTTACAATTCTAGGTATTATGTAATCTTATATTACAAAGAAATTTAGACCAATTTAATTGGTTAGTTAAAATTAACCAATTAAATTGCTTCTTATTTAAGATCCAATCGGATTGCAGCTTTAGTCTATTTTATTTCAATTTTGATTGGTGGAAGAAATAGGCCCAGAAACTAGAATTATATTTAAAATGAAATAAAAGACTTAAAAAAAAAATTATTTCATGTAAATATGGATAGAAGACCATCAGGATTTTCAAAAATACCTCCAATTAATTCAAGATCTGTATTAATTGCTATAGATGGTTCTGAACATTCAAAAAAAGCATTTCAATATTATTTAAAATGGTTACAAAGACCAGATGATACAATAACAATTTATCATGCTGTAGAACCAGTCTCATTACCAACTATATCATTATCAAATCCAATTAGTATACCAAGTGATGAATGGTCAAATCTTGTGCAAACTAATGTAAAACGTGTACGTGAATTAGAAAATGATTATAGTACAGATTGTTTAGCACATAATTTAACATATCAATTTTTATATGAACCAGTTGAACATATTGGTGCAGCTATTGTTCAAAATGCTGAAAAATATAATGTACATTTAATAATTGTTGGAAGTCGTGGTTTAGGTGCTATCAAACGTACCATTATGGGAAGTGTTAGTGATTATGTTGTACATCATGCTAATACAGCTGTATGTGTTATTCCTTGTATGACAGAACAAAAGAATTCTTGTAAAAATTGAATTCTTTTTCAATTATCCAATAGTTAAATCATATGTAAACATGTGTTGATATATTGAATTAAACATCTATATACATATATAGTATGGTATAATGTGAATATGAATGTTTATTCTTTATCTTACTTTTCTCTATTTTCTTTTCTTCACAATCACATATATTTCTTTTCTGAAATATATTGATAGTTATTGATTTTCGATTTGATGATCGATTATTATCATTTCATCACAATCAAATTCATTGTTATGTAACATATAAATATTCATGAGTGAGTACATTATGGTGTTGTTTTGTTCGATAGAGTTTTTCTTTTTTTTTTAAAACGACATTTGTTTCTAGATGTTTGTTATTTTAACAATAATCAAATATAGAATTAACTAATGATAAAGATTAGCAAATAATAAATGAGTTTTTTTTTGTTTTCGTTTTCTGAAATCATAATTGATAGTAAATATTACTGATAATAGATATTAGTAGTTTAGTAGTCAAGGTATTCAATGTTCACAGGTATAGACACTATTCCATCTATTTTTGGTTAAAGTTCCTGAGTTGTATCTTATTTGGGCTTCATGAAATAACATGAAGATAGACAAATGCGTTTTCTTTTGCCATTTTTTGTAATCACTATGAGATTATTAGTTGTTTATAATTGTTTATTAGTGTTCCTACTGTAATTCACACACTCACTTACACCTGTTACTCCCAATGAAGTATAGGCCATCGACCTGTATTCTCCAACCTACTCAATCCTCGTCTTCCCTTTCTACTTGTATCCAATTGTTGTTTATTCTTCTCATGTCATTCACATGAACAGTTCTTATTTCAACTAACTGATAATCATTACTTGCTTTGAATTATTTTTTCTGGTTAGCGTTTTTTTTAAAGAGTTGGTTTTCTACGGGATGCGGTCGCTAACCCCATGCCCAACTAACCTTCTTTATCTGGGCTTCGGACCAGCAGTGGCGCAAGAGAGGCTCCAGGCGGAGTTTGATAATCATTAATAATTAATTAATAAATATATAAAAATATGATAATTGAGAAATTATTAATCTACTAGAGTATTTATTCACAATATTGATTTACTGTGTATAATTTTAATTTTTGTCTATAGTTTTGAGAAGTTTAATAATAATTGCAACATAATGCATTCTATATGTGGCCATCAACATTACTGTCATCATCATCATCATCATCGTCATGCTGAAAAGTAAACCGTTTGAGTAGTAATAAAACATACTACGTGACTGGATAAAATGGAAGTATATATGTTATTATGTGAAATTAATTTTCCTCTCTAGTAACAAGAATCAAATTTTTTAATAATTTAACTAAACGTTTATTAGACAATGTATCATGTATTGAGAATGTTGTCCATTTAAAAGAATGAAGAAGACTTATTTCATTTGTATCGATGTTTGTGTGAGTGGTCTGTCCTTACAAATCCATACACAATATTGTACAATTGGACCCAAGGAAAACTTCATCGAAGAATGGTGGATGAAGACTTATTGAACGCTGAAAATAAATTAATAAATAAATTTATTGTTCTAATCTGTATGGATTCTCTTTACGTCAAGATATAGCCAGATTTTAGGTATGGAGGAGATTGGGGTATGTCTGAGACTTCAAATTAAATCGTCAGTAGTAGTTCATGCCATTTTCAACAATTTATTTATTTGAACACATAAATATTGGTACAAGGGGGCGCCAACTATATATGCGCCACACAAAACAATAAGAATGGGAGGAGAAAAAAGGAAGGTAAGGAGCTTAGAAAAAAGAACAATAACGACGACAGATTAGTGTAAGGCAGTGTAATAATAATAACAATAATTGTAATAATGTGGGAAACGAAAAGATACAATCAGAAGAAATCTTTCAGTTAAGGAAGAAACAACCATTTTTTTTTAATGAAGAAAGTAAAACAAGGTTACAGCAGGATCGCCACTGGCTTCTATTCTGAGCCATATCTGATAACGTCTCTAGCCAATGTGTTGCACCTTTTCTAGGACCTCAACCAGAGAGTCGTGAAGGACCAACACAAGCCAGTCCTTTGCAGCTTTCTTTCACACCACGATACCATGTCATACACTGACCACCTCTCCGCTTTTTCCAACCAGTCCCAGAGTCGGCAAATAATGTACGACGTGGAATTCTCTGGGACGACATTCGTGGAACATATCCAAGCCACCGAATTCGGTGTTTCAAGATGGTGACATCGATTGAATTATCATCTCTGTGCCCGAACACATAATGCCGAACCTCTGCATTACTGACATGGTGTTGCCACTGAATGTCAGCAATCCTTCGGAGACAACGATGATCGAACACAGAGAGTTGTCTAACGTCCTCAACTCGGAGAGACCAGGTTTCACAAGCATAGAGCAAAACTGCTCTCACCGACGCGTTGTAGATCCGACCTTTTACAGCCAGACCAACATCACGAAGGCGCCATAGGTGGCCCAGATTGGCATAAGCCGCTCTGGCTTTCACTATTCGTGCATTGATCTTATCACTCTCGCCACCACCAGCACTTATGATGCTACCCAGATATACGAACTTCTCGATTACTTCTATCTGCTCACCATCCAGGGTGAGTACAGGATTAGAATCCTGCCAGTCTTGTAGAAGTACTTTGCACTTCGAAGGTGCAAAGCACATACCATACCTACGGACACTGATTGCCAACTGATTAAGTGCGGATTGCATGCCTTGGGCATTATCGCACAGTAAGACAATATCGTCCGCATACTCAAGGTCAAGAAGTCTTTCTCCAGGCAACAGATCCACACCACCATTACTTACATTCATCAGAGCTGTTTCCAGAATGTCCATCGATGGCAAAGTTGAAGAGGAATGGTGAGATTGGGCAACCCAGTTTAACCCCACTGCTCGAATAGAACAATGGAAAGAGGTAGTTGTGTGCCCTCACTCTGTCTGAGGTGTTTGTATATAGGGCTTTTGGTATGTTAATAAACTTCTCAGGCACACCCTTCTTCAATAGACAATCCCAGAGAACAGTCCTGTCCAACGAATCGAAGGCAGCCCTAATGTCAAGAAACACTATGATTGTTGGCCTTTGATATGTATGACTGTGTTCTAACATTTGGCGGAGGGTGAAGATATGATCAATACATGCTCGACCAGAACGAAACCCAGCCTGCTCCTCGCGAGTCAGTCTTTTTCTGGTTTTGAACAACCTATGAAGTATGACATAAGCCAATAGCTTGGACGCAATCGGAAGTAGACTTATCCCTCGATGGCTGTTGCAGGAACGACGTGATCCCTTTTTAAAGATAGGGACAACTATCAACTCATTCCATGACGTTGGTACACTCTCTAGTTCCCAAACCTTTGTAAACAACGTCGTCAATTCCTTAGTCAAAAAGTCACTACCATCTTTAAAAGGAGCCGGAGGTAAGTCATCTGGGCCAGGTGATTTGTAACGCTTCAAGAGTTGGAGTTCCTTGCGGACTTCCTCCTCGTTTGGTGGATCAGTCGTCACCGGTCATGGAGGGAAGGACAGTCTGACTGATGTTGCCGGAGCAGCAGGCCAGTTGAACTGCCCTTCGAAAAATTCTGCCCACCGTCCAAGATGTCGATGGATGTTAGTGATTGGCATCCCATCATCCTCGCAGATTGTTTCGCTCACATCAGACTTCTTGCTGCTAGTGGCTCGGATGAGTTGGAAGAGCTTCCGGTAGTTACCAGATGCAGCTGCTGCTTCCAACTCATTAGCACGCATCGACCACCAGGCTTTTCGGTCCTTACGTAAGCTTTGCCCGATTCCATTACGTAACATCCTTCGTTTGTGGTCAAACTCACGGTCACCCGGAGTAGACCGACGGGTCTTGATGAGTTGTAAGGAGCCTGAAGAAATCCAGTGTTTATAAGCGGGACGTTTCACGAACCCACAACTGACTGTACCCGTCATTTTCATGGCGTTATGCAATAGAAACCAATGCTTATCTATAATTTTCGGTGGAATGGTAGCTAGCCTAGAAGCTAGCTCGGTTCGATGCTTACTTGCAACAGAAGTTGCAACCAGCTTGCTAATATCAATCCGTTGATGGCGGTCACTTCGTTGGCAACTGAAAAGTAAGGTAAGGCATGATCAGAGTCCAGATAGGTACTCCAAAAGGAGCGGTAGTCTTGTACATAACCACGCCAGCGGTAGCTGATCGCGATGTGATCAATCTGAGTCCAGGCTTGAGATTCAGAGGGAGGACGCCAGGTGGTACATCGGCGACGACAGTGCCGAAAGTTAGTGCTAGCCAGAAACTACAATATCTGTCGAACGCACTTTCTGGAGAAGAACAGATAACTGGTGGTAGAATTCATCCTTGATTGCATCCGGGCTGCAATCTGTCGAGGCATAGGCGGAGATGACGAAATGACATCGTTTCTCACGCCGATTTCTTCTCACTTTGATGGAAATCTCTAACCTAACAGCACATAACCGACTGTTAATGGGGATCCAATCAATTAGTGCTGCCTCAGCATCGTAGGGAGATGCAGTCCCATGGTAGCCGGTGACCAACAAAAGGTTCACACTCCATTTGTTCGTTCAGGATATTAAAGCCCATGTGTACCATTGGTTTTGGATCCGGTTAAAGAGCCGGACATTCACTTTTCGTCCTCTCAACTTCGTAAACAACACCCCAGTCATGAGAAGGCATGGAGTAGGACTTCCCTGGCAGAGGCTGTATACGCGTGGCCATGTGAGAGCATTTCGAGAGGGAGAGCGGGCCCACCCCACTCTCGACCATACCAGGGCATTTGGAGGCTTTTTATAGTCATTTACCCTACAATGCATACAACACATATGTAGGGTAGTAAGCGAAATAGGCCAGCCCGAAGCGTTAGGGCTTAAATAACGCTCAAAACCTATTGTCTGGTGTCGGAATACTATAACTAGACCATCAAGATCATTTTTATCTCATTTGCGAAATTTTTAATTTTTCCGACTTTTCAGACCCTGAGTAAGGGGTAGTATCCCTAAGTATGGAGGAGATTAGGGTATATCTGTGTCTAATATAAATAATGATAACTAGTAAATATATTTCAACAGTTCGACTTACCTTAAACAACGATATTTGTTCACATTGGTTACATATTGTCACATTCAATATTTAGACGAATGAACCATGTAGACCAATGAAGAGACTATTGAAAGTGACTTTATTGTCTACAGACTGTTCCACTGGTTTGTTTTGTTGGTTTCCAGTGTAATTATCATATTAGAAATAATACCTTATGATCGCTCATTGGTAAACGATCAATTTTGTACTGATTTATGGTCTTAAACCCTTTCTCTTTCTCCTGGTGATCGACTGGATCATGAAGACGTCAACATCTGAGGGGAAGCATACGATACAGTGGGCAGCTAGAATGCAGCTGGACGATCTAGACTTTGC